AGGCTTCCAATCCAATAGTTCTCCCCTCCACTCCAGTGATCACCATTCATAATTCATCATACTCTATATTATTATGGAATCAATTTAAGATCTCAAAAGAAACCAATACCAAAAGATGAGAAGTCCTGTGCATTATGACATTCCATTCTACCTATGTAGCATAACCCTTAAACTAACAAGGGAAGGATAGCCTGTGCCTATTTTAAGGTTTTCTCTGTTTTCTACTAGTGAGCTGGGACATGTCACACAAATTTATTTATTTCAGTGGCAAGACAATAATTATTGCTTTTTTTAAAAAAAAATTGTAGTTAGAATGGATCTGCAGGAGGCACAATTAAAACTCAAGGTTACTTGGTCCTTGAAAAGGCAATCTAATGACTCTATTGATATCAGTATACCTGGAACACACTTACTGATTACTAACAATGGTGATCTCACATTGGTACCGCTGCTTATTGAAGTTTTTGAACCCTGTTTCTTAGCAGTATTGGCCCTCCTTGGTCTAGCCCTGAACCCTCATGACCTTGTTCAAAGGAGCATTGACCCTCCTTGGTCTAGCCCTGAACCCTCATGACCTTGTTCACAGGAGCATTGACCCTCCTTGGTCTAGCCCTGAACCCTCATGACCTCATTCATGGGAGCATTGGCTCTCCTTGGTCTAGCCCTGTTTTTCCTGAGAAAGACACCTCTTGGATTTTAATAGATGGTTATCAAACACAGTCTGAGCAACACAAAGGTCATATTTTAGTTTGTTTCACAATTCATCACTGAAGTTTAGGTAAAGATGAACAGGATGGAGCTTATACAGTCTAAATGGTGACTACAGGTCATCCTATGAGATAGCAAGAAAGTTGTTGTAATAGTCTTTCAATAACATATCCAAGTCTCTTAAGAAGCCTGTACCATATTTCAAGTTGATCATTTCCCAGAAGGCAATGCAATGCTTTGGAGTCACGAACAAAAATTATCATGAACAAAATTATTCTCCACAGATCCCCAGTATTCATCATCAAGGGCAAACCACATGTCAGAAATAATTGGCATTGTGCTGCTATCATAGTAGCAAAATCTTAAAATGGAACCTGGAGTTTCCCTAGGCAATTTAGGGTACTCTTGTGATATTTATAGGGTTTTTATTACTGCTTCTTTCCATTGAAAAATAGGTGTCTTGAAAGTTTCTATTGACTAAACTGAAGTATATGGTTCCTTTTATAGCCTTCTCA